CATTAAAAGTTAAATGCCAAAGGTACTTGGATGAGAAATTATGAGAATACTTCGGTTAGGTGAAATTATGAAAAAACCCTTATGTTGTAAAAAGATAATAATTATCCTTGGAAGTTGGATAATAACTCTGAAAAGACATATTGATCCGATGAAACTACTGATGTGCATAGAAAATGCTAGTTTTGCTTAGAAAATCTGGATAACCAATTTCTAACCCCAAGATGGAGAAAGATTTAGGAATTGTGATTTTTGGACAAAACCGCCTGATAAATAAATTACTAGTGGACGGGATAAACTCTGTATGTATTCCAATTTCAGAAATAACATAATTGCTCTAGAAACTCTGAAGTGGACGGGATAAACTTGACTAATTGAATTGCGTACCCTGATGACCTTGAATTAAGTGAATAACTTGGATAAGTCTTGAAACACTGATGATTAATTTGACAAGAAATGTATGTATTAAAAAGTTAATACTCTGGAAGTGCAACGATTTGATCAATTGGCAGGTATCATTGATGGGACCTGTACAGTTAGAGTTAACTTGATATTCTGATATATCGACACAAGTTGTAGATGCTCTGAATCTTCGTTTCTCCCTTATCAACTCAAATCACTATGAATTATCTAAGAACCTAATACCTAAAATTCCCATGATTTTCCTTAATAATAGAATCACTCCGGTCATATCTGAAAAACACAAGTAAATCAAATGAAAAGGACTCTGAATACCCTTGTAATTACTTAGTGCCTCCAAAAAAATGTTCGAATATTATATGATATGGATAAATCACATTCTGAATAACTGATGATTCCGTCAGCTAATGAACTCTTCCGATAATGATTCTAACTTCCGGCATTCTATCGATATATAGAAGATCCATGTTTCTCTGCCCGATAAGATTATCCAATATCTCCGAACCATATCTGGAACCTCTAGTGTGTTCCCTGATCACATGAATATTTTCTCTAATTTCTGTTCTGATCTCTACTATGATTTCTGATATCTCTGTTTACTGAATGAAAATGTTTTATTTGGGATACTCTGGGATCTGGTATAAAGACTCTGTCAGGTTTAGTCGCTGCGTTAATTTCTTTTATAGGTTCTGCACCAACTGGTAATTCCTTATGGACCTAAGGAAACCCTTGGGTAGGCTCTACAGCCCTGAGATTTTTCTTGGGTTAGCCTCCGTGGCCCCAAGAATTTTCTTGGGTAGGCTCTCAGCCCCCAACGTACTCCCTTAGGTTATACAGTTTTGTGGAGTTGCATATGGCGTTCGGTTGGGGGGGACTATTATGGTTTTGAAAACATGTTTTAAATGGTTTTGTGGGAATACACTAGACACCCTATTTTAATCTCCTGAACCCAGTCATCCGAAATATTTCCCTCTGAATGGAAAACTTAATGTCTGTTATTACTTGAGATATCAGTGGGACCTCAGCTCCGCCTAAAAATCTATAGATGTCGGAACCAATAAGGAAACATATGTTTATGTATTATCTGCATGTTCTTCAGCATCATCTGGTAGTTCTGTATTACTGAGCTTTCCAAAGCTCACTCTGTCACTCACCTTTTCAGGTTAAAAAAATCATACAAGTGCATCTATCGACATCAGTAAGGGAGTTCTTCCGGCATTGTTTACAGAGTATGGTACATGTGATTAGGGGGCATGTAGGTTGTATTTTGTTATATATCCGAGTCTAAAAATCTATGTTATTTTAGATTACTGAGAAATTTTACTTTTGTATTTATAAATTATTTTATGAGTTTACATGTTTTAATAAAAGTTTTAAATTTTTCGAGATTTTTACGGTAGATCGCTCCGGTGGCCCTAAAATGACACCTCGAATCGGATCGGGTCACCCACATCGGTCTGGGGTTGTTACACAAAAACTCAAGGTGACCAAATTGTAACATGCGTGAAACATAGAGGCTAAATCAAAACTCTAAGAAACCTTTGAACAGGGACTAAAATGAACATGTGCAAAATAAAGAGCTTGAAATAAAAACAAAAAGTTGAATTTAATGACTAAATTGGAAAAATTACAAGCATTAGGTGGCTTGTTGCGTGATTAACCCATGTGCTGAAATCACAAACCCCTCCCCTTGCAACGACGTCATTTTGGGTAGTCTATATAACCACTTTTTATCCATTTTTTCATAATTTTCATTTATTCTTTTTTTAGGTTAGAGAGAAGTTCTCCCCTCTCCCTACAAGTGTCGGTGGATCTCTGGCGAGGGGCTTCGCCGCCGGCTGCCATAATTCGTAGGTGATTTTTCAAGCCCAAATTTCACGGACGACTTCGTCTCAACGTCTTGAGCACGGATCTAGTCTTTGTTTGCCCAAAAACGATCTAGATCGGCATAGATCTATATGCAAAATTTCGGACTCTTCCTATCTCCAGTGACACTTATTCTCTCCGATAAACCATGAAAGGGGTAAGCCTCATTTTCTATTCTTTGTATTCCTTTTCTTTCTTTTTTGGATCCTTTTTTTAAATCTTTTTTTCTTTCGGTTCGTCTCTTTTTTTCGGTTGTTCTTTTTCCTCCCCCTTTTTTACCCAAAAACCTAACCCCTCTTTCCTCAATGGTTATCTCTTCCCCTTGAATTTTTTTGATCTGTTGGTAATCCCCCTTCTCTTTTGTTATTCTTAAAGCTCTTTTTTTTCTTTCAGTTCAAACCCCCTCATTTAAATGGTCTCTGTTGCTTTCGTAAAAAAAATGGTGGATGGCTTGAGTGTTTGGTGAGGCTTAAGACATATAGTGCTGATAATTGGTGGTTGAGATCTCGAATTTTCCGGGTATGGCTCATTTATTTTAATGGGTTTGGTGTGGATTTGATTTTTTACTTTAAATGATATTGTTTTGTTGTAGATGATGATGACGGATCACTTGAAGATGACCTCAGCAACAGTGTCACCGGCGATGGAGACTCTAACAAAAATGCGACACCAACGACGACTGTTTTCTTCTCTGACAGCAACGATAATTGAATAGTGAGGTTTAGGGTTAGGGTTAGCTAGGCTTTGGGCTTGGGTCGGTTGGGTTGTAGTTCTGGGCCCAGTTGGACATGTAATTCTGGCATGTAAAAATAATAATAATAATGTCGGGACGAAAACCATTGTCGATAGATGTAACAATTAATTGCACTGGTGTGACGTTTTATGTATGAAAGATAGTTTATCTGAATGACTTAAACTGGTTTTTTTACTGAATTTAATGTCATAATTAAATTTTATAGAAATCCCTAGGACTTATTTAATATTTAAAAATAATTAAGAATATAAGAAATTATTAAAATATAAAAAATGTTAACTATTTTTTAGAAAATATAAAAAAATTACAAAACAATATAAAAAGGAGTAAAATTATGGAATTGAAAATATTAAAAATTATTAAATTATAAATTATAAATTATTAAAAAAATTAAAATATTTACAATGTATTAAAAAATTTGAATGCTTTTATCATAAAAATCATCGACTGTATCTCTCTTTTAAATTCAATGTCAGAAAGTAGCGTATTTACATCCTCGTCAATAAGTTCTTTCGCTTCATAACTGAACTACGAAGGAAATTGTAGAGGTCTTTCTCAATAAAACCAGTATTCTGAAAACCCCGACTGTTGCATGAAGTAATTCATAATTTGTAATGTTCCGACACCAACAACTTTAAATGATCTAGCCTCCACGATATCAGAAATAGTAGCTATTCGATGGGAAAAAAAGTCTCATAATAGGTGGGCAAAGTAGATAATTATGTTCATTATCACAAAATGAGATAACCCAGTTAATCAAATCTAACCTTGCAACTAGTTCTTGTTCATGGCCGATCGAGGAGCTTATTGACGTTCATCATCATATATTTTTGATTTCCTATACCCAGCCTTTGAATAAAAAATTCTTATGTTTTCACATTATCTGTTCCATCATGTTGAATTGTTCTCCGACGTGCACTAAATTCATATTACTTGCATAGGCCTTATAAAATTCTCATGCATTAACTATCTTATCTGAATAAACTCCAAGAGCTGAATCCCGAGGATGGCTAAGCATGTTCTGTAGTTGGAAGATCCATACGGAGAGAAAAATTTACTTTGTTTCCTAAGAAAAATTAACAAATTGGAATGTCATCATGCACGGTTCAGCTTAAGGGTGTTATGAAATGTAAACATTTAATTAGATAATCTATTTAATTAGATGATCAAATGAAGAACACTTATGCAAATGCTTAAACATACTAACATTATTGGTAAGTTATGTAAAGAATAAAACTATGAGTTTATGGAGAACACTCACTGACTTGGTTTCTACATAAGCTGAATGTTCAAGAAGGTATGTAGAAAAGTTGATGGAACTTTAAAAATAAGTTTTGCTGGATGCAGTAGGTATGTTGAGGGATCATCAAGGTGAGGTATGTGTTATGATTGCAGTTCAAGTTTTTCTCATCAAATAGTATAGACCATTCGAAGGTGATTGCCATAAAATTGACAGTGGAGATGTTTATTGAGACAAGGGAAGGCGATCGATATAATCTTGAAGTGGAGTTGATTTCACAAGTTGCAATGTTATGGGTCACTTATTAATCTCTCATTGCAAAGGTGTGGCTAATTACTTGGATTGAATTAAAGTTAGGTGGCAGAAGAATGCGATCATGGGATGAAGGTGGACTGTCTTAGGTGAGGTTGATAAACCCCACGGCTGATTAGGTGCGTCGCTAAATGTCCATTATTCCAAACCTGTTTGCAAATCATTTGTACGATGAAAAATTAGCTGTAACTAAGGCCGGCAGAAAGGAGTTTCTTAGGATATGGTTCGAACAATATTTGCTCATGTTTGATCCTATAATACGACTCGTGCAAGCTGGCGAGATTTTTTTCAATGTCACATCCCAAAATTTAAGGGTTAAATTTTCGTAAAGTAAGAGTACTTGTTGTATAATTAACCCGGGAGCTAGATCATTTAAATATCTATTTACACTACTTTCTCCTCCTTTTCCCTTTATTTTTCTCTTCAGCCTCTCATAAGTTAATTGTTTTTGCTCCACAATCTAAAAGCCGATCTGATAACCACGTTGTCGACCATCGTTATCGACACCGCCCTTATCACGTTGCTCCTCTCGTCAGATGATCGAAACCCGTCCAGTCGTGTCTCCACCGTCGTCTCCGTTCGGGGGTGAAGGAAGGGAACTTTCGGTTTCTTAGAACCCGAATATCATCTGCAAACCCTCATCTCGTAAATAGCAAATTTGGAAAATATGGTAAAATTTCGGTGACTATAGCCGCCGCATGCGCCGCCCTACGCATAGGCATCGTCCGCAGCTAGGGGAGATTGGAACCGTCTTAATCGATTTGGGCCAAACAGATTCAGTTCAGCTGAACCGAATCAAACCCGACCGTTGACCCAACCTAATTCGTTGACCCGTTGACTGTTGATTTTTTTTTTTTTGAAAATCTCTACTCTTATGTTTTTCGACACTCTGCCCTCGTTTTTTAATCTGTTTTACCAAATTCTAACCTGAAGGCTTTCATCTATCGTTATTATTAATTATTTGGACTTTCTATTACACTTATTATTTGCAAATTGTCTTATTTGTTATTGATTGTTTATGAAGGTGATTCGATCTCTCACGACCGCTCGCTAGTAGACCGGATTCGTCTCATCCTATTCATATTAATCTTGACAGTTCGAATAGAGTTACACATAAGATGTTTTACCTTGGGAATTGTAATTCTTTATAGTTAGTATACAAGTTGTTTTGATTATTAAAAGAGTGTTTCAAACTGATAGGTTCTAATGCTGCTGGACCTAGTGCTACCAAACGTGGGAAACATGTTTAGAGTTAGCGTTACAACTTGCTAGAGGTGTGTTCCTTGTTCGGTGCTACATGTGTTATATTTGAGTGTGTTATGTATATGATATGTTTGAGCATTGATGTTGGGTATGTTTATCTATGCTTTATATTTACCGATGTGTGTCTATATCGTACGAATGAACTATGTTTATATCAGCGACCAAAGCATGATGAACTGCATATGTTATGATCGTTTATTTTCAATATGAACATATACATTATTTAATATTATTTCATATGTCGCATCGAGATTGGAAAGCATTACATAGGTGACTGAAATATTGACTGGTTCATTTGTTAGGATGGTAAAATCAATTACTGGTTGGTTTATCAATTAGGATGATAAATCCAATTACCGACTCGTTAATCTTTTGGGATAATAAACCCAATAATGACATAGTGATGTGGTAAAGTGAACTAGGTTGCATTTCATTTTATTCATATTGTATATGATGTGCTAGGTGTTCCATATTTTGAATTTGTGAATATTATGTGATGCTCAAATGATATGGTTTACTTCTATGTCGACTGATTACACTTAGATGACACACTGAGCTTTGTAGTTCACCCATTAATTTTCTCTTCTACAGATTCTCGTGACCGATAGGATCGTCCTGGCATTGGAGGATCGACAAGCAATATTTTATTATTTTATATAGTATGACCATTTCAGACTATTATTATATTGAGAAAATCGCCTCAGTGACCAAAAATGCCTTATAATATACGATTTTAACCAATTTTTTTTGGATTTGCCAAAATGACCAACAAAATCGCAATGCGATCTCTAATTCGCAACACGATATCCAGTATCGCAAATTCGCGCTGCATTTCGCGTTGCGATAGTTGAAAATCGCATTGCGATTTTCTATTTCGCGTTGCGATAGTGTACAGTGTCGTTGCGATAATTTTCTCTAAAAAGATAGTATCCGCGCGGACGTGTCGAAGACACGTATTACCACGACTCTTTTAATTCTCTTGATAAAATGATAAAATGTTTTAGATATGTGGATTAAGTGGGAAACATGTTACAAAAATTGCTATATTTTCTTTGAAGTGTTGAGTAATGCTCAATCCCACATAGTATTAGAAACACTATTGGGAAGTGTATTTAAGGCTTGGATTTCCCATTTCCTTGTTGAGTGAAAGAGAACAAGGGGGACTCTCGCGCGCCGCCGTCGCCGCCGTCTCGTGGTCGTGGTCGTGGTCGTGGTCGTGGTCGTGGTAATACGTGTCTTCGACACGTCCGCGCAGATACTATCTTTTTAGAGAAAATTCTTAAGAAACAAAATCTTTTTTTAATTTACTATAAACTATCACGACGAATTTGGAAAATCGCAACGACACTGTACACTATCGCAATGCGAGATGGAAAATCGCAATGACACTGTACACTATCGCAACGCGATTTTCAACTATCGCAACGCGAAATGGAAAATCGCAACGATCGCAATGACACTGTACACTATCGCAACGCGATTTTCAACTATCGCAACGCGAAATGGAAAATCGCAACGACACTGTAGACTATCGCAACGCGAAATGGAAAATCGCAACGACACTGTAGACTATCGCAACGACACTGTAGACTATCGCAACGCGATTTTCAACTATCGCAACGCGAAATGCAACGCGAATTTGCGATACTGAAAATCGCGTTGCGAATTAGAGATCGCATTGCGATTTTGTTGGTCATTTTGGCAAATCCAAAAAAAGTTGGTTCAAATCGTATAGTATAAGGCATTTTTGGTCACTGAGGCGATTTTCTCTATTATATTTTACGTTTTTATCGAATTTGGTGTTTGTTACGTAATTGGGACTTTTAAACATTATCCATACAGATAATAAGAGTTATGTTTTCACATGCATTTTATTTCAAACTGATTTGGGTTTAATATTATTATTTATTTGTTATATGATTTTGATTATGACCTTTATTGTAACACCCATATTCAATATACGGTTACGTATACGAATACAAATGTCACATTACTTAAATTACAATATACTCGTCTTGAAAATCCTTTAAAATTTTGTTGCAAACTTAATTTTACATAATTAACATCATAAAACTACAAGTTCATTAAAATGTGATACAAAATATTTTAGTTATGTTTGATTACATGCCAAATAGGTTCAAAAAGGGATATCCAAGTCCTAATGTTACTGGCGAGTCAACCTTAGTAGATTAGATCTGTTGCTTCAACTTCACTCCTTATTGGATGATTATCTGTTTTTACCTACACGTGGAAATACACATGATATGTATATTTTAGTGAGTCATGATATAATAAATAATCTTTAGTGTTTAAAAACCTTTTATTTCCCATTTATCAAACCATTTGCCATAATTCTTTCTTTTCATTTGTAACCTCCATTTATGTTTATAATACATCATTATACATTTTAAACTATAACATCTTTTGTGTTGATAATGCACCCATATGCCTTTCAACTATTGTATACTTTTATGTTGATGATGTACCCATATACATCTCAACCATAGTATACATTTTTTGTTGAGAATGTACCCATATACATTTCAACTCTAGCATACTTTTCTATTAATAATGCACCCATGTGCATTTCAACTCTAGTATATTTTTATGTTGATAATGCACCCATATGCATTTTAACTCTGACATCCTTTCATGCCGATAATGCACCCATATGCATTTCAACTCTGGCATCCTTTCATGCCGATAATGCACCCATATGCATTTTTTTCTTTTATATTTTTTTAGAGCATTTCATACTCTAAAACCTCATTCACGACATCAATTTCATATGTTCCATATCACATAATAATTTTGATAAAATATACATTAACATATAAATATTTCATTCTAAATATTTGATAATCATACTCATCTAACTTACACACAATAAAGGTACTCACCTGGCTCGCCTTGCTTAGCTATCCAAAAAATGAAAAGATACTTATTCTGGAACTTGACCCTTGCCTTTCGACTTACTCGACTCAGGAGCTTGTTTGCGATCTATTCCACATTCATTAAAAACATGCATAATATCAATTGTTAGTATGTTTCCTAACAATTGTTACTTAACATCAATCAAACTATTTATTATTAGCTTCCTACAACATTATCAACACCAACTTAACATTTCTGGCATTTAGGTATCGATACCACTACTTATGGTATCGATACTACCCTATTAGGGTATTGATACCTCCTTAATGTATCGATACCTAAATTAGCTTCGATATAGATTGGTATCGATACCCTCACCATGGTATTGATACCCCTATACTATGGAATTGATACCTCCTCTAGGTATTGATACCTAAATTAGATTCGATATTTACTGGTATCGATACCCTTACCATGGTATCAATACCCCTTTGCTTGGGTACCGTTATTGGTTGAATAGGTATCGATACCTCTGAAATAATTTAGCCTAATTTCTTACCTAGGGTATCGGTACTTCTCCATAGGGTATCAATACCCCTACCTATACTTTCCAGTTTTTCCCCGAAATTTACCCAACTTTGGGCCAATTTTCATCTCCTTTACTCCTAACCACACTATTTAATACTTCTCTACTTAACCTTACAAACTTTCCTTCATTTAACCACTCAAAACATCTAAGATTCATCAAGAGCATTTGATTTTAAGAATCACACCATAATTTCTAACATGTTATTTCTCTCAACCAATGCTTCTAATCTTTTATTTACCTTAATGACAAGTCCATTTTACCAACAAACCTCAACCAACCTTCATATATTAACATATCATTATAAAACCCATTTTCTTTAATCTTTAATATCTCATTCTTAACTTAGTTTTAATCCCCTTTAAACCTTTATTAAGCTTCCCTCATAGGCAAAGATTTCATAGCTAACAACAATTGAAATAATAAATCATTAATTAGGAAACTTACATTTAGCTAGGATTGAGAGCTTTCTCAAGTAAAAGAGGAAGAAGAATAGAGTATTTAACTTTTTCTTTTCCTCCTCTCTTATTTCTATAATATATATAAATCTACTATAATAAATGAATTATAAATTCATTTATCTCCAAATACTCAAAAATGCCCTTTTTAATCTTTCCTAAATACAATTTAGTCTAAACTATTATTCCTACTTATTCTCATCTTTATTAATTAATCAATTTAGTCCTCCATATTTTTAATTCCTTTTAATTTAATCATTATCCTATTATTTGGGGGTATTACAAATCTTCCCCTTAAGAAAATTCGTCCTCGAATTTTAAAGAAGTACCTGAAGCAAAGAGATGTGGAAACTACTTTTTCATATCATCTTCTCTTTCCAGGTAGCCTCTTCCACCTTATGATTCCGCCAAAGCACTTTGACTAACGAAATCATTTTATTACGCAATTCCCTGTTTTCCTTAGTCAAAATCCATACCAGCTCTTCCTTATAAGTCAAATATGGTCGAATTTCTATCTCTTTCGGAGTGACAATACGTGAGGGATCTGATCTGTACCTCCTAAGCATAGATACATGAAAAACATTGTGAATTTTGTCCATATCGGGAGGCAAAGCTAGCTGGTAAGCCACGGGTCCAATCCTTTTCAATATCTCATATGGTTCAAAAAATCTCGGACTTAGCTTTCCTTTCCTCCCAAATTGTAATACTTTCTTCCAAGGCGATACTTTCAGAAATAATCTATCTCCCACATGAAATTCTATTTCTTTCCTTTTTAAATCCGTATATGACTTATGGCGATCTGAGGCTATCTTCATATTACTCTGTACAATCTTCATTTTCTCTTCCATATCTTTCATCAAATCCGGCCCAATTAGATCTCGATCTTTTAATTCAAACCAATTTAATGTTGTTAGGCATTTTCTCCCATACAGAGCTTCATAAGGGGCCATCTTTATACTGGATTGATAACTATTATTATACGCAAATTCTGCTAAAGGAAAATACTTTTCCCATGATCCCATAAATTCAATCACACATGCCCTAAGCATATCCTCCAATATCTGAATAGCTCACTCTGACTACCCATCTGTCTGGGGATGAAAAGCTGTACTAAAGTTCAATTGAGTACCCAATGCCTCGTGCAGAGATTTCCAAAATCTCGAAGTAAACCTGGGGTCTCGATCGGACACTATCGATATCGGTACTCCATGAAGTCTGACTATCTCTTTTATATACAGCTCCGCAAGCTTATTCATCGAGTAATCTACTCACACTGGAATAAAATGAGTTGTCTTAGTTAATATGTCCACTACAACCCATATTGAATTCTTTTTACCTGGTGAAAACGGTAACCCCGAAACAAAATCCATTATTACTCGTTCCCACTTCCATTCAGGAATAGATATAGGCTACAGTAATCCGGATGACACCTGATGTTCAACTTTCACTTGCTGACATGATAAACATTTAGCCTCAAATTTTGTTACTGCTATTTTCATTCCAAACCACCAAAAAGGACTCTTCAAGTCTTAATAAATTTTATTTCCGCCTGGATGCATAGTCAAATGACTATAATGGGCTTCGTAAAGAATATCTCTCCTCAAATCATCATCATCGGGAATATAAAGCCTTCCCCGATAATATAGGCATCCATCATCCCTTCTTTCAAAATCTTTGATCTCTTTTTTTTCAATCAATGCCAATTTTATTAAACACTTTTTATCTCTCCCTTGCAGTTCTTTTACTCGATGC